CTGCTAACACTACTACTACTACTACTACTACTACCACCACCACCACCACCACCACCACCACTACCACTACGACAACTACGACGACCTACTACCACCGTCTTCGGTTCAATTGGGCTCAATATTGAGATTTGGGGGTTGCCGGGCAAGAGATCTGTCGAGAAATCAACTCAGGATTTTGGCAGCAACAGTACTCCAGTTCCGGTGTGGTGATGGTTTGAATTCGGCGGCCGCACACAGTGGCGAGCAGGCTAGTGGAGCTTAGAGGTCCTCATCTTCGATGGGACGGTGCTGCACCTGCGGGGGTCGCCGAGCGGTTAATCCTACGTCTGCTACGGCTGATAACCCTCGTAAGGAAATGGCTAGTCACGGCGATAATAATAACACCCATACACAGTAGTGGCAAATCTCCAAGGCGGGAGCTCCGCTGACCACCCCGATGCCGTTCTTGTCCGCGGCGTAGAACATGTACTTGTTCGACCTCAGTAGCCGCATATCGTTTCTCGTCGCTCAACATCCGTAGTTGGGCTGTAACCATGCAAGGTCGTAAACATGTAGAAATGTAGTAAAACACTCTAAGCCCAGAATGCGTCTGAGCATGTTGCCTCCTGACTTTAAACGCAGTGTGTGCCGACTTCCATGTCCCAGATAAGAAGCCGGACGGGATTAAGCCCGACAAGCGTTGCACGGCAGCATACACTGCAAGCGAATCGAGGCAAGCCAACATGTTGGCACAATGCCGCAGTCACAAAGATTCTCACGGATAGAAAGAAGGCTACACACAAAGTAAGCATGGCACGGTGGCCCGTGGCCTTTATAGCAAGACAGAGTGTAGCAAAGGCAAGGGATGCGACTGTGCATGCCAATGGCGCAACATCGCGCAATGTCAGGCCAGGTAACTCTAGGCATCATGCTCAAGGTAGCATGATGAAGAATACATTCTGGCGAATACACCAAACTATGGCACTGCGCGCTCAGAGCATGAACATCCGCCCGATCCACCAGCATACCCAACACATCCTAAGGTACATAAAACAAAGAACGGAACAAAGAAACAAGCAAACACGCAATGTATCGGCTAGAACTGATAATTACGAACATCTGAGCTGAAACAGCTGGAGGCATTCCATCTTCAACCAAGTGCTAGATACGTGCACCACACGCAGCGCAGTGACACACTGATATGCAATCCCCTAGCAGCCGTACCAACACAACACAATCCTAAACCCAGCTTTTCACGAATCAAGCCATGCCCTCAAGTCGACAATGCCATCGTCTTCACAACTAACACCTTAAAGCCTACCTCCTTAACGTTTCGACCCTGGCTCTGGGCCCTGGAACTTGGTCACACCATAGCCGGCATCTGTCCTCAGTAGATCTCCCGGTTTCGGGCTAAGCGCCTAGTAGCTGTAAAAGCGTTTTCGCCCTGAGGCCTCACTCCCGTCGGCAGTTGTGGCAACGCAGCGGTCGTGGAGTCCGGATGGTAGACTGAACCCGCAGTAGCATGCTACCGTCCGAACGAATCCACACGTGCAGATGCCCGTGCCTGGAGCAACTTATACTCTCGCTTTCTACTCGCACAACACATCCATGCCGTGTGTACTGAGTTGCTTCAGTGAGCGATCTGGGTTACTTGTGGCCTTGCAAGCCTCAAACACCAAACGCCGGGAGTTTCGTCGGAGAGAAACAGGAGCCCTTTGAAGAAACCATCTCCCAACCATGTTTTGCGCCCGGCAGGCTATCGGGCCTGCGAACCTGAAGATGATGAAATTCAGCAGGCACTTTGCATGATAGTTGGAAAATGTTGGAAACTCATGGTGAGTTGGAAACAGCCTACGGCATCAGCAGCAGCTAAGGTAGCGATCGCGACGACTGTTTCAGAGCAACGAAGCGGCCAGACGAGACGGACACTGGAAACACCCTTGGAGAACAGGGATAATGTATAGCAGGGGCCTAAATAATTATTCATACAAATTTGGGGGTTCCTTATTATAAATATAGTATAAATGGGCCCCAAAACCCTATTCAAATTGTTAAGGCCCCTATATGATGCAAAAGTATCGTGTCAGTCAAGGGACTCGTTCGTGAGGACCCGGGAGGGGAAGGCCGTCGCCGCCGGCTCGCCTGCCTTCGCCTTCGGCAGCTTTGGCGCCACCTGGCATGTGGGTGGTTTAGGGTTTAGGGTTTAGGGTTCAGGGTTTAGGGTTTAGGTTTCAGGGTTTAGGGTTTAGGGTGTAGGGTGTGGGGTTGAGGGTTTTGGGTTTAAGGTTTTAGGGGTGAGAGACTGCTTCCACGTCCTTCTTTGGCCCTAAACCCTAAACCCTAAACCCTAAACCCTAAGCCCTAAACCCTAAACCCTAAACCCTAAACCCTAAACCCTAAACCCCTCCAAAAGGGCGAGCCCCGGGCTTTCCCGGCCTCTCCCTCGACGATGCTGCCGGCGGTCTTACCCTCCGCCTGGTTGGTCCAGTAGATCCTGCATACTTGGAGGTTCCTTTAAAGGGCTCTATAGTGTTTAGGGTTTAGGGGTAGTTTAGAGGTGGAGTTATAAGTCCCCCACTTATAACCTCATTTATAACTGCCCATGAACCTCCAAGTAGCCGCTGTCCAGTGCTTGCCTACTCAGGCACTCAGGTTTGAGGTTAGATGCTCGGCGAAGGTTGGGAGTCGCGATCGAGAAACCCCCAGCCGCAAACCCCTAACGCCAACTCTGAACTACGTGACCCCCTACCGTCAGACACTGAACCCTGCACCCGGATCCCTTCATCCGACGTATGCGGCAGCCAAAGGCGCTCAGGAAACATTACGACAAACTGGGCTCAGTCACTGAGGGATGACAGCCTTGTGATTGTTTGGGGTCTCTGTGACTCCTTGCAAACGAAAATTATGATGCTTCGCGCCCTCTGCTCATGCCAACACTTCTAACTGATCCCGGCTCGAACTCCCCGAGTGAGAGTGAGCACTGAAGCTGTGGGAAGGTATAATCATTCCAAGGTGAAGCCAAAGATTTTGGGGGTTGGTGGTTTACAAAAAGGTTTGAAAACCACTCCACGTGCCTGGCACCATCTGACACGAGCCCGCCCGGTGTAGACACATGAGGGTTCACACTGCCTTGGCGCATCGAGAAGCTCCACATCATTCTGGGAATCTGGTGTTTAGGGCATGCGGCCTGTGACCTTTGGCTCATGTCGTAGCTGCGAGAAGCAAGAATCAGAAAGGTCTTCGGCTGTGGAGGCGTCAGGACAACAGCGAGGACAAAAGCTGGAGCTGTGACGAACTGCCAGCTTACTGCTCGTTTGGAGCATCGAGACTTCAAGGATACTTGAAGTATGCCATGTTATTCTATATCATCTTGTACTACATTGTGATATGTTGCATGAAATAATATCTCAGTCTAACTCCCTACGGAGCCGACGCTTGACTTGCGACGCGTCCCGGTCCGGAAGAGCGACCGACTCAGTCCACCCACAAAACCTCGAAGTCCCCGGTTGACCCCGAACCTTAGACCAGAGACCCCAAATTGCAACGCCTTCCTTGAACCTCATACCACAAGTATTAGCTAACATATATACTTCTACTACAGATATATATATATATATATGTATATAGTAAGCCCTACATTGCGACGCCAAGGCCGGAAACTCACGACTCACTCGCCCCCTGCAGTACTTGGGGCCGAGCCTTGGTAGACGGAGTAGACCTCAAGCAGAAGCTGGAAGCATTTTCTGTCTGGTGCTTAGCAGGGAATGGGTAATAGGGACTACTATAAGGGACCTTAAGGGACTACCATAGGGATCCATTCCCCCGATTCCCTACTAAGCACCAGACAGTTTTAGCACTCAGGAGCTGAAATCGCGTGTTTTTGCTGGCCTTATCAGGGCTCGGCACCATGTCCGTCCCAGAACTGAAAAGCAAAGCCGGACATGTCTGATCGGTGCCGCAGATGGCCCTTCTTGGATATCAATCACGCACCCTAAACACGAAAATTTGCAAAAATTCGAAAATGTGTCAAACAAAAAGTCGAAAAATCCTGCATGAAACTGGCACGGAATTGAGGCCGAGGCGAAGTGGGACCCCGATTCGGGAGCAGCTCCGCCACCTGCTCGCGCGGAGAAGCAAAGAGACAGAGCGAGGGGGAGGGAGAGCTTAACATACAACGAACTAGCACGTGATGATGGCGCTGGTGACGGATGACAATGATTACGATCCTGGGGACAGTGCGTTCGCGCGTGTGTGTGTGTGTGTCTGCATCTTCGGGCCTGTGTTTACACGTGTGGGTCCCGTGTTGCGGGTGTATAGGTGATCTGGGGCTACTTGCTATCGGCCTGCAAGATTTCGGGCTCATGGTGTTTCGGGCTGTTTCCTTGCAGCTTCAGGCTTGCTAAAACACTCAAACTCCGTGAGCCCATGTGGTGTCTTGTTTGTTGTAGTTTTGAAGGTTTGTTTTGATGGGATCCACTATCCACTGAGCCCGATAGGTACTGCGCTAATCTGCCTGACTCGAGGGACTTCTCCGAGAGCAAGACAAGATCACCTCGCTGCAGCTCTTGATGTTTGACGTTGCGGCCTTGTTGTAGCCACGACGAGTTGCTTGTGCATGATTATGGCACCGTGCTTCTGATGATTGCAAGCTGTTGTCATGAGCTTTTACTTCACCATTTTACTGTGCCTGGAAGGTGTTCCTTTCCTGCCGAACTCAGACGTAGGCGGTTCAGTCTTTGGGGCTTGCAGCAAGGATTTCTTGACTCAGAAAGTCGCGACTGTGATCAGCGAAAAGGGTGTTCATTGGCATCTCTATCAGCCTTTCCTGGTGGGTCCCCCCTGGTGCTGCTTCACTCGGGCGATACGCAACTGGCTCAAAATGCACTCGAAGAGGGCTATAAAGGCCAACTAGGAAGTGTTAGACTAAGCTTTAATGGCTTTCGAATGCTCTCGACCCGGAATGTATCTTAAACCGGCTTGTTTCCTCCGTAAAAATGGCCTCGAACGATCACTGTCCAGCCACCGAGAATTTCAATTACTCTTCTTACTTAAAGTCTCGACATGGATCTCTGGGCATGACATGTGCAGAAAAAGCATAGGCTGGCAAGAGCAATTGAGAACATTTAAGGGCTTTTGAGTGGCATTCGAGAGCATTTCGGCGGCATTCGAAAGCATTTCAGTGGGCTTCGCGGGTATTTGAGAGGCACGTTTCCTGCACGCAAAACCCTCCCTGCATGCCGAGAGCATTTGACAGTAGTCGCGATCCACTAACAAGCATTCTCAAATACATAGTTGAGCATTTAGACCCTGGGCGGGCCCACTGGCTGATGGAGATGCCTATGAGGTGTAGGAAAGAGCAGCTGAGGAATTCAACCTGAGCCCATGAACGACGGAAGCTCCAAACTGCGCAAAACCCCGGGCGCGCAGTCGAACACTCAGCGCCACAGCTTGTCGCCAAGCTCTGTCAAAGATGATACCCGTGGGTACGAGGTCTTATTGCAGAATACGAGGTCTTATTGCAGAATATAAGGGGCTTAGATTCAAAACACAAAAGACGAGAACCTAATCACGTTGAGGGTATACTCTGTTGCCCCACATTAACTGATTTGCTGTCGGTGCTAAGATGGGGCCAGCAGATTCCAGGGACCTGGCATACCTCACGACCACTCTTAGGACTATAATTTATAGTACAGCGGGTAACCTTGACACACGTACCTGCGATTCCGCGAAGGAGTTCGGGTTAAGGTTAAGGCTGGTTCTGATTTTTGCAAATTGAGCTGGGCAGGGGTCTTCGAGCTGCAAGCACGACACGTTCCAAAACCTTATCTGGGACACCCTGCTGGCGAGCCTGCAACCTTGATACCTTGATATCTTGGAATACTAAAACGAACAAGTTCTATGACATACTGTGACTACCCATAGGCCCTAAAGTAGTTCCTTTTTGGGGTTCATATATAGAATCCTATAAGGTATCCCCAAGAAGGAACTACTATGGGGCCTATGGGTATCTTACGACCCCTTCCCATGGCAATACGGCCAAATCGCTGGAGGAATACTGCCCTTTGCTCAGCATGTCGATGACGTCCACCGGTATCCTGCACGAAACCGGTGTCACGGTTTAGGTTTTAGGGTTTAGGGTTTAGGGTTTAGGGTTTAGGGTTTAGGGTTTAGGGTTTAGGATTTCGCGTGTACCGCTTGGGATTAGGGAACGAAGCCTGACGCCCATAAGCCCAACGTCCTGCCTTACAATGCATACCGGAATTCAACCTCACAAGATTTTTCTGCTTTCCTCGCTTTCTGAAAGCCATAGCTCTCAGACAGTTGGCTTCTGTTCCCAACGTGCTTGAGGGATCGATAACAGTATTAGTACTAATATTACGGCTTATAAAACTACTAGTCTTGTTCGCTTGGGTGCTCCTCTCCAATCTTAGCATTCGATGCAGACCACAGGAAGCACAGCTTCTCTTTAACCGCAGTGAAAACATACCACCGGCTTCCGGTCCTGAAACCTCCCGGCCAACATCCCTCTGCAGAACCAGTCGTGCTATAATGTGCTTTGAACAAGCATCCATGCTACGACCCTTACGACCAGGCCCGCACTAGGAGGCAACTTGTATCAATGCATGATACTGCATGGCCTGTTGATGGTTTTGGCGGTCGCATCCGAATAGAAAACGTCGCCGTTGAGGTCCACGTTGACCCAGGAAACGTCGGCGTTCTGTGTTCGGCAGGCACTAATCGATGGACTCACGCGAACTGGCTTGTGGGCTCTACGGAAGAGCAACATGCCAAACGCCTACCAAAATGGAGCAGATCATGTAGCATGGAAGGGCTCCGGTCGCTCGTAGCTGTAGTCACGCAGCGAGCAACACGCAAGCCTTGCACATTGCGCGTGCCTGCATAATGCACAGCTGCACGCCGTCGGTGATCAGGCCCAGCGATGCGCCGTTGTCTTTCACATACCTGGTGCAAACCCCGCATCCAGACAGCCTTCTCGCCCCTCGCAGCCTGCCTGAACTGCAATCCTAGACCTCCCACGGAACAACATCGATACACTCACACAGCCCAAGCGCGGATTGTAAAAGCGCCGTTCAAGCCACACCGAAAGCCAGCCAAATAGAAAGCCGTCGCTCCGCTGACTTTAACTAATATGGGTATGCGGGAAGATGGCAACACTAGCTCTCCCTGAATCAGTATCCATAGTCATAGTCCTTCGGAAAACCTGCATGCAGGGCCACAGAGATATGCAGCGGCCAAGCGGCACATGGTATCTGTAGATTTTCTTCGCGCCGCTGTCTGCGACGTACAGCCTCAAGTGCTGGGAATCCAGACCAGGACCCCAAGCTGTCATGAAGCTCGCACAAACACAGATAGGTCAGAATGAAGGAGCTACCATACACCAGCCGAAGACAGTTGTGAAGAACTGAACTACACCAACCGGGCTGACAAAGCTAAAAAGCAAACGGCACGTAAAGCAGAAGCCAGGCGCAGTAAAGCACGTTAACGCACCGGTAGAAATGCCGCCAGGGTTTAGGGTTTAGGGTTTAGGCTCCTCATCGTCAGTCATCAACATGACGCACGAGCATGATGTAAGCGAACATGCGCGCATGTGCATACGTGAAGCCATACAACCATATGCATGCAATGAACTCAAGTGGCAAGTGCACATGTAAAACACATACGAAAGCCACATATGTACTTGTGTATGTATATACACGTGTACTTTTGTACAGTTTATAAATTTAGAGAGTATGAACGTACTACATATTATGTATCAGGTTATAATATATGTACTATATTATACTATACTATATCAGATTATATTAGGTTATACTAATATCCACACACGTCCAGGCGTCCACAAAACCCTAAACCCTAAACCCTAAACCCCTAAACCCTAAACCCTAAACCCTAAACCCTAAACCTTAAACCCCTAAACCCCTAAACCCTTGCCAGGAGACGCCCCTCGCTCGCCGTCGAAGGCCAGGTCGCGAGGCGAGCTGAGCCCCGAGTCGACCAAGGCAAAGGTTCGGCCGGTGGTGCTCTTGAAGTTCCTTGTAATGTAGGGTCTAGGGTTTAGGGTTTAGGGTTTAGGATTCAGGGTTTAGGGTTTAGGGTGTAATGTAGGGGTAGCTCTCAAAGAGAGTGTCCCTTCTAGTGTCCTTTGTCTAAGGATCTTAATACTTTTCGATAGGGTTTTAGGGCATCTTTTGCTCTTTGAAGTTTGGGTAGTTCTCTAAAGTTAGGGTCCCTGTTAGGTAGGGGACTTAATACTTAGAATAAGGGGTTTGGGGTGCATTAACTATACCATGATGGTGCTCTTTAGAATTCCTTGTAAAGTGGGGGACTGAATACCTAGAACAGGAGGTTTGGGGTATATTATGCTCGTGCGGTTCCTGATTTACTTGGGTTTACTATCGCAACTCTACGGAATAATGGTGCTCTTCCGCTTCACTGTAATTTGGCGCCGTAGCGTCACGCCTGAACAGTGCCTGAACAGGCTTTAACGGAGAGGACAGGAACAGGCACTGACAGTGGTGCTCTTGAAGTTCTTTGTAATGTAGGGGCCTTAATGCTTAGAATAAAGGGGTTTGGGGCATATTAACTATACCATAATGGTTCTTTCGAAGTTCCTTATAAAGTAAGGACCTCACCTTCATACGTAGAATACGGAATTGGGTGGTATATTATGATGTTGAAGTTCCTGAATTACTTGGATTTACTCATAGTCGCAACTCCACGGAATACTAGTGGTGATCTTGCAGTTCCTTGTAATGTAGAAGCCTTCAAAGTCATTGAAAGGGGTTTGGGTATATTATACCATAATTGTACTATCTTGGAGTTCTTCGTTATCTGGGAATATCCTTTTGGGCTTTAAGGGATCCTAGACGGGTAACTGTAGGTGTTTATGTGAGGCTTCACCATGGAGTTCATGTCGTGTTTACGACTTCCACCAAATCATGAAGCCCGAGTCCCTATCCTTAAACCCTGAGCTTTAATCCCTAAACCCGCTCTAATCCCGGGTGCCCCCACCCTGCAGCCCGTTTTGCCCCCTCTTAAAAGTCTAAACCAAGCCGAGGCGACTTCAGCTCGGTGTAAACCTCAGCTTGCATCTGGACCCTTGCGTCCAGACGGTTTGCGCTCTCGGACTCTGCCAGATGAGGTTCGTAGGTCGGCGGGGTGAAACGTCCAGACGGTTTAGGGTTTGGGGTCTCACAACGGGGACAAGCCTGGGGGCCGACGAAGACTACTGCACCTACTACTGCTACTACTACTACGACGACTACGACGACTACGACTACGACTATGACTACGACTACGACTGCGACCGCGACTACGACCGCGACTACGACTACGACTACTACTACTACTTACTACTACTACTACTACTACTACTACTACTACTACTACTACTACTACTGACAACTATTGCTACCAGTGCTAAAGTACTACCACCACGCAAACTACGGCCACATGCGTGCATTCTACCACTGCCATGATGCAGAAGATCATACATAGTTTAGTCCCAATGCAAAAACTGTTGCAATACAATGGAACTCCAAAAAGTTGCCACATGACGTAGTTCCGAAACATATCATTCCTATGTAGTGCTGCTCCTGTACAATACAGTTCCTATCCAACATACTAGAATATATATATATATACATAAATAAATATATATATATATATACACGTCCTATAGAACCTAGTTCCTGCAAAAAAGTGTACATAGAAATATGGTTAGCAATTACGGCTCTTTCTGATCCTCCAAACCACACAGCCCATGAAGCCTTCGCGCCCCAAGACCCTGCAAGCCCCAAGCAATTGCACTTCAGCAAGCGGCTATCTTCTGCTCCACCGGGCTCGAGATGATGAGGAACCTGGAATGGTTCTTGGGTTTTCTTTTGGCGCTCAGTTTGGCTTCTGCCCCATCCTCTAGCACCAGCTGCTGCATACCGCATTGGGTTTAGGATGTTCTTAGGCTTGGCGGGGATCCATGTTGTCTGAGGCCTCAAGGTCTAGTGTGCAACGACACTAGAGTCACTAGGCCACACATCTAGTTCCCAGTCCAGGACTCAGCATACCTGCTGGGATTTGCAGGGGATACTGGCCCACATTTGACAGGTGAGGCTTTATGAAACCCGAGAAACTCTGGGCGGATCACTTGGTTGGCAACCGTTTGGCACTTTCGACCGAGGCACGAAGTCGAAACATACAATCAGAAGAGCTCAGATTGAGCTCATGAACGCATACAGACGGCCTCTTCCCCGTCACTGGTCCCTGCAGCTGACCTTGTTTTACTTGGGGCGGGCATAACTCTTCCCAAAGATGCTCGTGGGGCTCAGAGCATCCGTGCCCGACTGAGTCACGGCCAGGCCGACAGCGACGGTCTTCGGAGCATGGCCGACCCGTGATGACTGTCAGACGTCTCCTGATTGCGAAATCGCCAGCAGCAAATTAACGCAAGTGATTTTGCACTTAGCGCGATAATGGTGGTCGTGATGACGGCGCCCTCCGTCGTCACCACCATCATCATCATCCTCATCCTCATCATCATCATCAGCAGCCACGAAAACAGACCTCGCCCTGTCGTCACACCGGCATCTGATGTTGGCAGCTCGGCGATATGTGCGCTATGCATCAAGTACCATCAAATGGGATGGTTGCGTGATGCCGTTGCTGTTGCGGTGTTTGTTGCTGTTGTGGTTGTTGTTGCTGCTGCTGCTGCTGCTGCTGCTCCCGTTGCTGTTGCCACTGTTGCTGCCTTGCTTCGGCAATGTGATATTGTTGCTCATGTTGTTGTTGTGGTTGTTATTGTTGCGATTGTAAATGTTGTTTAGGTGTTGTTCTGCTGCTGTTGTTGTTACTGTTGTTGTTGCTGATGCTGCGATTGCTGTTCTTGCTAATCTTGCTATTGCCGACGAAGATGATGCTGTTGTGTTCTTGCTGGTGTCGTTGCTTTTGTTGTTGTTGTTGCTGATGTTGATGTTGTTGTTGTTGCTGTTGTTGTTGTTGCTGTTGTTGTTGTTGCTACTGCTTCTGCTGATCCTGCTGCTGGTACTGGTGCTGGTGCTGGCGCTGGTACTGTTGCTGTTGCTGTTTTGTAGCTGACGATGAAGATGGTGATGATGATGGTGATGGAGGTGTTGATGATGATGATGATGATGATGTTGTGGCTGTTGTCGGCGTTTTCGTTGTCGTTGTCGTTGCTGCTGCTGCTGCTGCTGCTGCTGCTGCTGCTGCTGCTGCTGCTGCTGCTACTGCTGCTGCTGCCGCTGCTGCCGCTGCTGATGTTCATATCGTTGGCATTGTCCTCTGTACCGTTTTCGTCGTTGTTGCTGCTGCTGTTGTTTGCTATTAGTTTGCATGTTGTTGTTGCTGTTGCTGTTGCTGTCGTTGTCGCTGTCGCTGTTATCGTCGTTGTTGTTGTTGCTGTTGTCGTTGTCTCGTTGTCTCGTCGTCGTCGTCGTCGTCGTCGTTGGTCGTCGTTGCTGTTTGTTGTTGCTGTTGTTTGTTGTTTTTTCGTTTTTGATGCTGTTGCTGCTGTCCTTCCGCTGCTGACGCCGCCGCTGCCGCTACTGCGTAATTGGCTGCTGATGGCTTGGTCGTTGTAATTACTTGTAATTGGTATTGCTGTCGTTGTTGTTGTTGCTTCTGTTCTTGCTGCAGCTACTGCCGCTCCTGTCGCTAATAGCTTTTTTTGAGTCTGGACTTGTGCAACCGCCAGAGGCCTGTTACGGTCTAAGCTTCACTCTCAAATGCCTCAACCAAAAGAGATGGACATCTCCAAACCCGAAGCTGCAAACAAGAAGCTGTTTCGGCGTCAGCTGAGGTGCTACAAAGGTCGGGTTGAAGTAGTCCACACCTGGATGTCCAAGGGCTACGTTCTGGACGCTCACATCTCGGATAATTCAATCTGAATGGCTTCGAGCTGGAACGGCGAATCTAATGTTCTGGGTTTCCAGATCCTGCGGATTTGTCGAACCTGGTGCTAAGGGACGTAATTAAACTATTTGTAAGAAACCCTCGACTACCTGTGCGGATCCAAAGGAAACACTTCTTTTCTTGAGAGACCCAAAACCCTAAACCCCGAAGCCCTCAGAACTGCCAAAAAAGAACAAGAAATCGCAGTACCAGTCATCCCTGCCCCGTGACCCCGAAACCCCTAAACCCAAGACCCGAGACCCCAAACCCTCTTGCCTCAAACCCATATAAAGTAAGCCATCTAGCAACCCTTAAAGTAGCGCTTAAAGTACTCCCGTGGCGTGACTGCTATAGTAACCCTTATGTAGCAAGCCCCAAAGGAGCGGAAGGAGCTTAAAAAGGACTCCTTTGAGGCTCCCGGCTTGTCGAGGCACGCTGAGACAAGCCTGGGGTGCAGGAGTAGGGTTTACTTGGGGTTCATGGGTAGTTTGAAGTGGAGTTATAAGTCCCTTCATATGGGTTATAATTATAATTACACTACCTATAACCCCAGAACGATGCTCACAGGCGAGGTTTTTTCTGTACGACAAACCGACTTGCAGCGTTCCAAGCAAAATCACCCTGTCGAACGCTCAGAGTACCCGAGACCGACTGGGGCAGATTCCCACATGGCAAGCAAACCAAGCCAAGCAAAATCTACCTTCGACGAACTATCTCACTCAACACATACATAAACCGGTCGTCGGAGGACTCCAACAAGGCTACTATGCAGGACAGTCTCAACGGACTTTGTGTGGGGTTCTAGGGTCAGGGTTTCAGGTTGAGGGTTTAGAGATATCCACGACTGGGCCCTAACAAAAAGGATCCTTCTGGATGGCTGATCTTAGGACCCCTGCTGTCGGAAATTCTTGCTGGGTTCAAGAGTACCGCCGGCTGCTGGGGTTGCACTTCTATTCGGGGGCCTGTGTCAGGTGCACCCTCAGTCGTGCAAAATGCAGAGAGAGAGAGAGAGAAAGAGAGAGAGAGAGAGAGCAAGCAAGCAAGCAAAAACAAGAGGTAATTTCCCTTCTCTATCCGCTTGCAGCTTGTATGAAGTTCAACGCCTCAAGACTAGACCGTCTTGCCACTGAAAATACCGATACCATACTGTTGTATACTATGCTATGCTAAACTATACTAATTTATACTATACATGACAATGACATACTGTAATCTACTGTACTACGCTATACTATACCATACTATACTATACTAGACTATACTATTCTTTATTGAAATATACCTCTATATTATGTTATATTGTACTATAACATACTATAGTATAATCGACTATACTCTGCAAACTATCCATCATATGCTGAAATATACGATAGTCTACATAGAGGCTCCACCCATCGAAAACCCGAACTTTACCACAACTTACAACGAGGGCCCGGCTCAGGCTTGCTGTGGCTTTGCCCTTCAAGCCCACCTGCAAGGTTCAGGGCCGTTTAGGGTGTTAAGGTCTAGGGTTCTGGGGTTTTGGGTTTAGGGCTCAGGAGGGAAGAAGAAGGCAACGAGGTCTCGCAGCGCAAAGCCTGTCACCTCCCGACACCTTCGAGGCTCCAAGCAGGTGGCCGTGGCAACATCTCGCAAGCGCAACCTTGCATTGCTCAACCTTGAATTTGCAAATACTGGTACATCCATGGGTACATCATGGCACCCAAACCCAACCCTACCACAAGAAAGTCAGGCCTAAAACCCAAGCGCTCAGCAAGTCCATCTCGGATGCCCTAAAGACCTGAGCCGGGCCCCTCACGCCGCCACACGGCCGGCAGAAAAGGAGCAGAAGCGCCGCAGCCAGTGAGCGGCCCCTTGAATGAGCTCAGCTGGTGCAGTAGCAGCAGCTTGGTGTGGGGAGTCTCAAAAAAACGGCCATGTCCACGGCAACGGCACATTACAGCAGGCAGTGAGCATATTGGCGCTTTGCTGACGCTCGGAAATGCCATGACATTGTAAGGCGACTGCGCCGCACTGCGGCAAACTAACCATCTTTCGATACCCGACCATCTGTTGCAAGTGGTTCGTCTGCCACAGAAGCTCCAAAGTGATAGATTCGCAAATGCTAGTCTGAATAAGATGCACAAGGGTATGATAACGAATCCCGCTACCCCTACGAAGCATCTTGTGCTGCAGGGTTGGTTCGCTTTGACCGAGTACTCAGCCTGGATGGGCTCCTACACCCCCTCTGCCGCATAATACTTTGATGTCCAGAGCAGCCTGGGCGCCTAAGCACTCTTGAATCGTGAATCCTTCAAAGCCCGACATCGTAAACCCCCAAACCTGAAATAACCCCTAGCCTCAAGCCCTAACCCCTTGCCTTTCTTCCCAGACTCAAAACTTGACGTGACCCCATGAAGCAGAGCTGAGCCCCTGGCATGTTTCGAAGTCCTCAGCGAGGGATCTGTACCTCGGCGGCGCTGGCACTGGTCTACCAACTTTTCGCCACTGCTCTAGTCTCTAGTTAGTATAGGGTTTCGGTGTATATCGTGGAGTCATACTGATAGTATCTTAGAGTAAGGAACCCTCAGGAATCGTATTACGAATCATTAAAGCTTGGGGTCTTGGAGTGCAGGCCAAGCGGTTAAGATGTCAAAGGCACGCCGCGCATGCAACAATCGGGAAGAAGCAATGCCTGACATGACATTTGCATGATGTCTACGTATTCACAAGCTCTTTGACAGGAGGACTTCGTGTGCCGCTTGGCTCATGCTTGAACAGGCTCCTCAAAACCACTCCCGGAAATGGGAAGCTTGAAGGTTCAGACTTCAGAGCCTTGCGAGTCTCGGGGTTTACAGGGCCTTGGGCTTTTTCGGTACCGGCATCACTTACTTGGAGGTTCATGGGTAGTTATAAGTGGAGTAGTAAGTAGGGTAACCATAATTATAACCCGTATTAGGGGACTTTATAACTCCACTTATAACTACCCATGAACCTCCAAGTACTCCCGCCCAAAGCTGCACCGAGGACCGCACAAGGAGCTCTGGGGAGAACGGGTCGCTCACCCAGAGGAAAGTATGCGCTACCTGGATAAGGGAAGATCCCCTGAGCCACAAGGGCCTCGCGCCGGAAGGGTGCCAAATAAAGCCGCGGTGCAGTCTTGCTTTGAGATTCAAGCCCAAACCCGAAGGCTTATTCAATAGCCCAGAAACCCTTAAAAAGTTTCTCTTCTGGGGCACAGTGGCCCCTAAACCCTAAACCCTAAACCCCTAAACCCCTAAAGGTCCCTCCTCCGATCGTGGTCTGACCCTCCTTTCCACATCCCCGGTGCGGATCTCCGGTTCTGCGCCAGCTGCGACTCGCGTTGGGGGCTCTCAGGCTTAGTTTGGGGCTACTTGGAGGTTCATGGGTAGTTATAAGTGGGGTTATGGGGTTCCTTTAAGGGTTCCTTTAAAGGGTTCTATAGTAGGGTGTAGGGTTTAGGGGTTTCATGGGTAGTTATGAGTGGGGTTTTTTGTAGGGTAACTGTAACTATAACCCATACTAGGGGACTTGTAACTCCACTTATAACTACCCGTAAACCCTAAACCCTAAACCCTATAGGCCCTATAGAACCCCTTAAAGGAACCCCATAACCCCACTTATAACTACCCATGAACCTCCAAGTAGGGCTCTGGGGACCCATGGACAGAGTCTGAAGAAGAAATTGCAACATCAGCCCCGAAGGTGCCAGTAGACTGGGTTCTTGTTAAGGGATTTAATTTAAGTTACCATAATAGGGAAACCATATTATTTACTATAGATCCCTATTATGGTAACTTAAATTAAATCCCTTAACAACAACCCAGTAGAAGGCAGTGTAAGCTTTGTTTGCGGCCTGCTGAGGCTTTAAGGGGTTATATAAAGTTATATATGAGCATGTCAAGCTCCAAACTGATGGGAGACGAGGCACCTGCTCCCACATAGTCGAATAGGCTGTTGCTGCAGCTTACGGGGAATGCTGTTCATCTTCCGTTTAAACGCTACGGGTCGTAGGGCTGCGGGGATTCGCCCAGGGTTGTAGCCGAGTGCATGCTTCACATTCTATGAAGTGCATCCGTGATTGCTCCTTCGACGGGCCAAGAGGATCAGAGTGCCTGCGAGATTTTGCTGGCACGGCTCCGAGCGCACACCATACCTCCATCTCGTGTGTGGAAGTGTTGTTAATCTCTCAGCGGCTCATGCAAACGCCCACGTGACCCTGTGTTTGTCGCATGTTTGAAGAAAACTTACTGCCGAATGCCCCTCTTTGGGGGTCTTAATTTCGAATCCTTTGACACAGGGCCATTCGGCGGTCTACCGTATCTACAGTCGGTGATTTCTTAGCTGTGTTTTACAGCTGGTGACACGGGATCGTACACACCTGGACACGATGGCCCTGGAGGGGCCTGAAGAATCTGAAATGTTCCCTCAACCCCCTGAACCTATTCTAATCACTCAGGCCTCAGTGTTAGATTGCGCCAGGAGTTTCCAGAAATGCCTGTCGACAGGCCTTCTGCGGGGTCTGTTCCTTGAGATTCGGAAGCATTAACTAGATCGCTCGAATCAGGGCATTCTTGCTCATGAAGGCCAGATAGGTTGATAGACAGATGCACAATATGTACATGCACATGTTTTGCATGCAAGGATGTCTGACTGCATATGTGTGCGCATGCGCATCCTTAATGTATGCTGCTGGTCTGACGACGGCAGCCAACGGTTTACGCAAAACAAGACAGCCGGAAACCCCAAGATCCCTCTGCCGTTCACGAACAGCTGCTTTGCAGCTGCAAACCCGCACCTCCGCCCGGAATGGCCCTCCTGCCGCCGCCCTGCCCACACGGGCTTGGGATCTTTACTTTAGGTCTAGGTCTGAGGTGTTGGGGTGCTTGCGTGCTTTGACAATGCTTTGCCTCTTTCTTTCGGTGAATCTGTTGCTAACACTCTGTCCAGAAGCCTCCCACCAAGCAGTCGAGCAGAGCTCGACACGTGCGGCTTACTAGACTCAAAATCCAAGCAGCCGAGGGTTGGCTGCCTTACCCGGCCCAAAGCGGCTGGACTTATGACCCGGCGCACTCAAAGCTTCCAGGAGCATTGCATCAAACACACACGAACACAATGTGAACAGTCATTAAACTATCACACCGTGAACTTGACGAAGCTCTAACATTTACGAGAATTAATTTAGGGCTTTTCGTTTTGTTGTGGGATTCTTTATGATTCTTTGCTATCTGTTTCCCAGAGCAGCTGCAACTGTTGGCAGGTGGGCATTCTCCTTAGAAATCACCAACTCCCTGCATCCTGTTATTTACAGCGCATGGTGCAAATCCGGTCCCCGCATTCTAATATTTACACAGGATGCTCGCTAACTACACGTGTCTCCCGCCGTGGTGCGGTGCAAGCTTTTTGCCATCTACAGAGGGATCTATGTGCTGAAGGAGTGATTCATTGCAAATAGAAAGATATGGACCACCCTTGCTTGTGGAAAACCTTGAATCGCAGCAGTATTTGGGGGAAACGATTTAGCATCTTGCTTTGGACGAGGGCCAACGGCTTTAGGGTGCCGACGGTAAAACGTCTAAGGCACACGCGGCAAGATGCCCGTCTAAGGCGCACACGGGGTCCTGTTTGGTATACGCAGAAACCAACGTATCCGCCCTTCACACCACCAAACCGGAGGGTCTATAGAGTAGGGTTCCCTGCGCAAAAACCAACGTGTTCATGTTTCGCGGCATGCTCAGATAATGTGCTCGCATTTCACTTCATGGAACCGGAGGGTCTAGAGCAGGGTGCTCAGATATCTTTTAGCTCGCCCGTTCCCTGGGCGAGCCCGATTCATCACATATCTTAAACACACGACTCATTTGGCGATCTATCTGAAACACGCCCCCTCCTCTGCCGATCCCGATTCATCACATATATTCACATATGCCAAACACACCCCCTCATTTGGCAATCCCCGATGAGCACATATCTTAAGCACGTCCCCTCATTAGGCGATTCAGGTTGATCAAATACCTTAGAAGCCCGATTCATCGCACCTCTTGAACGCGTCCTCTCATTAGGGGATCCCGGTTGATCACATCCGCTCCTTTGGCGAGCCCGTTTCATGACATATCCTGAACGTGCCCCATCCTTCGGCGATGCCGATTCACCACACATCTTAAACAAGCCCCCTCATGTAACGATCCAGGTTAATCGAATATTTTAAACACACCGCTTCCTTTGCGATCCCGACTCATCACATATCTGAAGAACAACCCCTTATTTAGCGATCCCAGTTGATCACAAATCTTGAGCTCGCCCCCTCATGGAAAAGCAGAGAATCAGAAAAGCGGAAAACAAAAGAACAAACACACAGAAAACAACAAGCAAAACAGTCCAACAAAATCCAAGCATAGACAACCAAAAAAACAAAAAACGCTTCCAAAAATAAAACTGCAAAACTTCGTTAATCCTCCTGTAAGTTACTAAACCCACAACCATGAACTCCTGTTCCCAAAATCCAACACTTGTCCGCCAGACCCTGAGTCCTCAAACCCAAAACTCCTGAACCTCCAAAGAACCTCAGTTCAACTCCCCAAATCCAAAATCGTTCCAAAACCCTATGCTCCTAAACGCCTCTACCCGAAACTGCACCGGAACCCGCTACGACTCGGGCTCAATTTTCGAGGGTTTCGGGGTACATTCATAGTGTGATTCGCAGTTGGATCCTTACGGAATAGCGGTAGTAACAAACCCTAAACCCTAAAACCCTAAACGCTAAACTCTGAAACCCTAAACCCTAAACCTTAAACTATAAACCTTAAACCTTAAACTCTAGGCTTCTGGGCTTCGAAATCAGCCTTGGTGGCTTATGCCAGGCCGGGCATGGCGCCCCGTGACGAGGACCTGCAACACATGGTCGAGAGCTGAACATAATGGGCCCCAAAACCCTACTCTACATACTATTTTGAGGGTTCCTTCTTATAACTATAGTATAATGGGCCCCAAGACCTTATTATAACTATTAAGGCCCCTACATCACTCCTCTTCCGCAGCAAGGACTGGGATCCGAAGCTTCCGGCCCCAAAATGTATGGGGTTGAGGGTAGGGTTTAGGGGCCTTAATAAGTAGAATAGGGTTTAACTTTAGGGGGTTCCTTAGTATCATCATGCTACAAAAACCAAACCCTATTCTAATTTTTAAGGCCCCTACATGTAGGAACCTGATTAAGAAGCCCTGGCCCTCTCACCCGAATATGTTAGAACTCATCTACAGGAACCCTAATAAAGAGTCAGGGTTGAACCAGGTTCCTATATTCACAGGAGTCATGCAAGCAGGGCAGGCAGTCAAGTAGGCAGGTGGATAGGCACGTGGCTGCATGCATGAATATAATATATTGAATGTATGTATGTATTTACGTATGTATGCATG